CGGCTGGATGTAATGATCTAACCGGCTGGGGCGAGCCTTCAGGTGAGGTGGCCTTTAGTTGAAGCGCAAGAATGTGAATTTTTTTTTTTTTTTTTTCCCTCATAATAGAGCTTTTTTGTTTATTTTTTTAATGCGAGGAATTTTTTGGTCTTGCTTTTTTTTTTAATACCAAAAAAAAATTTATTCTTGTGTGGTCTAACCGGCTGGGGCGAGCCTTCAGGTGAGATGGCCTTTAGTTGAAGCACAAGAATACGATCATTCTTGCGTGGATTAACGGGTGAAATAAATAACGATCCATTTCAGTAAGGTGCTTTACGAACTCATTAGCGAAAGAAGCCAACGATGCAATGATCGAATATATTCAATTTTACCGAAACAAACCTGAACCATCCTCTGGGTTGCCCTATTTGATGTAGAAAGTTTATTCTTCTCGTGTTCATGGGCTAGAAGCATCATTATTCTTTACGTATTACGAAGAAAAATCTATGGAATTATAAAAGATAGGTTTATTGACCAACTGAAAATTAGATTATTATGCTAAATTTCACTCGACGTAAGTATTCTCTTTTGCCTTTATATATTCATTCTTTTATACATTATTGTTGTTTTATCATTACTTTTCGGGAGTCTTGAAAAAAATTTTTTCAAATTAATTGAAAGTATTATTTTTTATATTTAAATGTAACAGAATCTCAATAATACGCTACATAATAGCTCTGAATTCGTCTCAAGTACGGCTGATCTCATTTGAACATTTCGAACGATATAGAGTTTTATAATTTAGAAGAATTTTTCATTTCGAAGGTTCAAAATGGTTGTGGAAGGTAAAGATGAATCTGGTGAAATGAATTTGCTTCATGGTAAAAGAAATAGGAAAATGCTTTCTTTGTGGCGTTTCTGGAAGAACGGTATGATTATATTTTTTTATTCGTACAATAACAGAATAATCTTTTATAAAATAATTTAATTGTTCAATATTTAGGCAAAAACTGGTAAAGTTATAAAAGGTGTTCGAGGATTTAAAGAAGAGGTTACAGAGTATGTTTTCTAGTTGTGTAAATTTGTCTATTTTTTGTGGCATTTATAAATTTAAATTGTGATTTTTTTTTAGATCTTATCAAATTTGGCAAAACGAGGTGGAATCTCGAGAGAACAGATAAATTAATTGCTGGCTCTTCAAAATCATTTACATATCCGCTGTGTATCTTGTATCACCGTTATCAAAAGTATTTTGGTTTATCCTTGCTTGTTTTTATATATATATATTAAACAATAACAAGGCCTTCCGTTTAGCGATCCTGAAATGTATGATAAATCCAAAATGGCTACACGACAAGTGCACTACAACTAGAGTCTCCTTTAGGTGAAAACTTTTTTTTGAATTGATTAAATTAATTGAATTCATTAATTCTACACTAATTTCGTATTAATTTTAATCTTTATATGCAACAGTTCTCAACAATATACTACATAAGAGCTATGAATATGTCTCAAGTACGGCTGATCAATAGGTAACAGACAAAGTTTTTCTGTGGCGGATCATCCTACAACAGCGATACAGAAAATCCATGGTATCCACGTAGCGATAGGGTGTGCAATGCTATAATATATAGTTAAGGTAATATATGTCGATCATTATTTGCGGATTTTTTAATGTCTATATAAATTTTTTTTATAGTCTGAGATAAATATTAAATTACTGATCTGAGCTAAAATACTAAATTACTGATCTGAGTTAAATAAATTTTTGATCTGAGTTAAATATTACTTATTCAAATTTTAATTATCTTCATAATAGTCGTATATATGTTTATTTACAAAGGTACATTTTTTGAGAAAATGAGATTAATTATAGTTTTTTTTTTTAACATGAAAATAAAAGCATTCTCTTTAATCTAATAGAGCTATTTTCTTTTTAAAATTGCTAATTTAAATTTTATTTACAATTATTGATATATCAAAAAATTACATATTTTTAAATCTATTTTTTGAATTATAAAATATTATTATCTAAAAAATCGCTCTATTTGATTGTAGCCCAAGTTAATATATACAATTTAGCTTTTGTATTGTTTATATTAATAAAGCCAGTTTGCTAAAAAATGTACCTAAAAATTTCACTTTTTACTATTAGAATGACACCTAAAAATTATCCGCGGATTCCATAAGCGAAATCCGCAAATAATGATCGACACATTACCCTAACTATATATTTTGTATTATAGCCCTAACGAAGCGATATTCTTTAATAACCACAATGACATCAAATCACGAGAATTGCCGATATACCATCATAAGAGGTCGAAATTTTTACAATTGTGAATTGGCTCGAAAGTAAGGTGCTCGTTCATTGCATAGGCACGTAATTAAATTAAGATTGAAATTCTGAATAATATCTTCTTAGGATAAGGATATATTCTTATAAATTATAAATTATAGGCGAACATGAGATTGATAATTCAAACATAAAAATCTTAAAGGATGAAGGGCAACATTAAAGAACTATAAACATTTAAAAGTACTGTATATTGATTTCGTTAGTCATTTACGTTTTGGATTTTTTTGAACTTTAATTTAATCAATTTTATAGTTAACTGCTAGAAATGTGATGACCAAATTAAGCAATTATTAATTGCTTATAAAAGAAAGGTATAAATGTTTTCATACTGTATTGTTATAATTTATATCATGATTAATATCATCCTTTTCTTATTTTCCATAGTCAATAGTTATAAATTAAACAAAGGAATTCATAAATGGCTTGAATACATCGACAAGAGAATTAAATCAAGAGATACTACTAGCAACTTCAATATAATTATAAATGAACAAATTCTTTTATAATTTCTTTATCTAAATAAACTGATCTAGAATTTGCAGAAGAATTTAGTTTAAAAATACTATCTGAACAGTAAACCAAATTTATCTTTTAAATTGTAATGCGGGCAAATTTAAAAAATATTTTTAAAATTTTAATAAAATTTGTTAATGAAATTAGATCATTGTGAAATTTAGAGGTTTTAATTTAAATATATAAGCTTTACTAAAATCTACTTATACTATTTTTCTAATAATTCTAACTTTAAACCCTAATTTAACTATAAAAAAAAAACCTAAAAAAAGACCCAAAAAAATTAAAAATCATATAAAATATGGGTTTTTCTATATATCTCTGGCCAGTAGTGTTCACACAGGCCGGCATGGCCCACGGGCCACTTGGGTCAGGTTATGCCGATCACAGGTCGGGCTTGGCCCGGGGGCCACCTGCGGGTCAGAAGCATTTGATTGGCTATCAAATAGTCATTATTGTTATCGTGCTATTTTGTATAGTAGGTAGAATCTTTTTAATACTATTATTACAAAGCAAAGCTGTTAATTTGAAGAATAGATAATTTGAGCGAAGGTTCAGTGAGTAATTTGAGCGAAGGTTTAATAAGTTATATAAAAAAAATAATAATGAGCAAAGGTTTAGCAAGCAATACAGTATAAAAAAATAATTTGAATGAAGATTTAATAAGTAATTTGAACAAAGGCTCAGTAAGTAATTCGAATGAAGGTTAAGTAATTCGAACTAAGGTTAAGTAATTTGAGCAAATGTTCAGTAAGTTATAATAATTTGAGCAAAGGTTTAGTAAGAAATTTGAGTGAAAGTTTTATTATTTATTCTGTATTGTTATTATTAATTAGTTCTATAATAAAAAAATTTTACTTAATGGAAGTCTCTAGACATAATTCTGAAACCCCTTAATATTCTAATTTAATTGCCAAGTCAATAATATTCTATTTTTATAAACTTTATTAAAGTAAAACATGTAGTAAACAGTGGTTATAATTCAAGCAAATTACTTATTTTAGAATTCAAGCAAATTCGCATATTCAAATTTTAGATAGTAATATAAACTAGCCTATTAAAACTCTATTATTGAATTTTTAATAGTTAAATTACTCAACATTTCTTTACTTTCTTTTTTTCCCCTTATTGTTCGCTTCAATAATTTTTTTTTTTCTCTTAGGTTGATAATTTTCTTTACGCTCTTCATACTCATTTTCTGTACTTTCATCTTCATCTAAGTTAATAATTTCTTTATCTTCGTAATTTGATTGTTTTTCTTTTTTATTTTCTAGAGTGCCTGAATTGGTAAAGTTCATTTGACAATTTTCTTTTGTTTCATGAGGCGGATTGGCAAAGTTCGTTTGACAATTTTTTTTTGTTTCATGAGACGGACTACTTTTTGTATTATTACTAACTTCTGGGTCTTCATAAGTAGCACTAATATTATATTTAACTGAAGTCATAGGTTCTTGGTTTCGAGATTCAATATTATCAGTGATAATGTCAATAATTGATCTAGTGCCAGATAGTGTCAAAGAAGAACTTTCAAGCATAGTATTATTTAAGGTTGTTAACTGATCAATTTCAGTTGCCTCTACCATAATTTTTCCCGATTTTGAAAACTTGATAAGCCCAGAAATAAGGTAGGTATTATTTAATTTAATATAAGATCTGAAAAGACCTAAATATTTTTCAAACCTTTTTGATTGAGAGTGATAAAGGACAGTTACTTGTATTTTAATATTAGCTGTACTAGTAACTGGATTATACTCAAGACATTCTACTCCAAAATGAATAAAACTTTCAACTTT